CTGTGGCCGAGTTGACTTGTGGCCGAGTTAACTTGTGGCCGAGTTGACTTGTGGCCGAGTTAACTTGTGGCCGAGTTGACTGTGGCCGAGTTGACTTGTGGCCGAGTTGGATCGAATTCGAGTCACATGCACTAAAAGAAGGTGTGAATGAATAGAAGAATTGATCGTTGTGTTTATCTGCATTCCAATTGAAACTTTAACTAGGCCTAGATTGAGAATTTTTGAAGATGGATGACGACTTTCCAGATAAAATTCAAACAACTACGACAACTACTGCTCATCATACGACCAACCAAGGGGGAAGTGGTGGTGGCGGCGGCGGTGGTATCACGGTTGACAAGGCATATCTACGCTCGCTACCTGCTATTCTACACATCGTACAGATCGTAAGATTTGTATTTTCTCGGTGTGGTTCTCTCCTTGCAGGCTTAGAGGCTAGACTATAGACCGGGAACCCAGAAAATTTAATCATGTGAAAAGAGACAAAAGGTTTAATGGTCTGGTCATGATAGTATAGGGCCAAGATAAAATATTCAGCATTGCTGCCGGGTCGCGACATCCTGTACAAGCGGGCTGGGGGAATGAAATAGGAGGTTAAATAATCATAATGCATTTAATCATGTGGAGAGAGACATGGATAAAAATAATTGGATATTACTCCCAGGTAGATACTTGCAATAATGTCACATGTGACAGCAAATTTTACCTGTACGTGACCTTATTAAACAGTGACATTAAAGGCCACGCCCAAATACATTTAATCATGTGAAGAGAGACACGGATGAATTTTTTTTTATTGGAACTATTATACATTGGGGTAACAAAAATACTAATGGCAGCAACTTTATCCTGTACATAAGCCCAGACAGCAGCCCCAAGCGACCCATGGGGGTCTTATATAGTAGCAACATGATAAAATCAAGCAAAGAGAGACATGAATGAAACCAACTAGGAATTACTACTTGTACATTGTAGAAGGCTGAAACACCGATGACAGCAAGGCTGGGTAGGCTGGGTAGCCTAGGCTCGGTGTGAATCCCTTGAATTTGTAGGGTCTGATTTTTGTCGGTTGGTTTACACGCCTGTCCATCAGTCGTTTTTTTAGTCTCGGTCGTTTTGTACCCTGCCTTTTACTTGGCCTATGTCTTTGATTTTTTTTTTCTCTTAAATAGACCTACACTGTAATAAGAATGAGATACTTAACTGTTTTCAAGAGTGAAAAAATCTTTAATTTTTAAAAACTTTAAAAAGTCATTAAAAGACACCTCAGAAGTCGAGAAAGCTCATTTCCGGCCATCTAAGAATCCAAATTGTTTCGGGGGAGGACCACCCCTTCCCCCGTTCTTTTTGGGTTTCTTTTTTTAAACATTTTGAATCCCCATGCTTCAAATCCTGGATCCGCTCCTGGATAGTGATTGATTCTTTGGTTTTATCTGTTTTATCTTTTTATATGTATTTTTAGAAATGAAAAAAAGGAAGTGGATATATTTACGTCGCTGTAAACAAATCAGTAAACGATATATTTGTATTTTATATATAGATGAAACAACGCATGCGCAGTCATACTTTAATAAACTTGCATTTTCAGCACTGCGTGGCCGCCAAGCCGCGGGGATTCCCCCAAGTTCACCACGGCACTACTTAATTTATAATTTTGTTTTTTATTTTTTATTAAACGTAATTTAATTTTCTACAACAGCACAGTATGTAGTTTAATCAGTAAATAAATTATTAAATCATTGTGTTAACTTTTCAAATAAAAGTGATATTATGAGCTGGAAATGTTATGTTCATTTTACTCAATCATTTGTTGAATGAACACACTTTTGAACTAAATACAAGGCCTAGGCCTACGCGAGGTTTCCTTGCTAAAACTCAATTACCACGAAATCAAGATGATATTCTTCTAAGCCTACCTGTATTGTTATACGATAGTCAATCATCACAAATTAAATAACATCCTAATGTTTTCATTCAAAAAAATTTACCCACGTTGTCACTAACAAAAACAACATCGTTGTAGTCTTTAGTCGGGTCGAAGAACATATTGGAGAGTGAAATACATCTCCCTGGTAAGACAAAACAGATTTTTTATGTTTTATTCAAACATATTTTCCCATGTAGTCTGATCACTAACAAAACAACATTGGCATGCTGTGCATGTGTCTACGAAGTATGGATGCAGAACGTGGAATAAGCCCTGCTCTACGTTGTGGTGATGATGTGAGAAAGTGAAACGAATACTTCTAGCTCATTATCACAATCATTCAATTATTTTATTTAATTGAAATACATAGGCTACTACTGTAGTAAATTTAATTATGTTTGGTAAGAACGGTAAAATTATAATTTAAATACTGTACCTATCTGCTAGTAGTTTACGAAAATTCATACAACCAATTTGGGGATTCCCCACGTGCATTGATTTGCCGTCGATTCGATCGTGTGTTGTTCAATGGCTTTTTAAAGAGTAGAAACCATTTGTTTTTACAAGAAAAATTGTTGTGTCATGACTATAATAAACGCGTCCACGTTTGAAGATTTGATTTTCGTGTACC